ATTTCTACCTCAGAGCACTGGTGAAAACAAAGAAGTCAGCTCGTAAACAGTGGCGCCTAACAGGGGAACTGTCGTAACATCTGAAGCAGACAGCTCAGGAGAGCGTTCAGAGAAAGAGTCAAGATGTCAGCACTGCTAAAATCTCCGCGAGCCCAAGGCTCAGCCTCTGAAGATCGGCACTGACAGCTTCACAGCACAAGGCAGCAGCGAAGACTAGAACATTCCAGCCACGAAACGAACCGCCAAAAGCAAGACGACAATAAAAACAAGTCTCGTAAAGGGAAAGTTTGTAATCCAGTGTTGAACACATTACATAAAATGTCTAGTTTTCAACAAAATATGAGACATCCAAAGAAATAAGACCGTGCGACCCATAAACAGGAAACAAAGTGGGTAACAAAAATGACCTGTCAGAGGAAGTGGAAGCCATATTTAACAGACTTCAAAGAAATTTAGTTCAAATAACTAATGGAAACTATGCTGAAAGAAATAAAGGCATAAAGACAATGTCTCATCAAATACACAATATCAGTAAAGATGCAGAAATTATGCAAAAATAACTAAATGGAAATTTAGTACTTCGAAAGTAAATAGCGGAAATGAAAAACGCATTAGCAGGGCTGAACAGTACATTAAGTGGCAGAAGGATCCACGAACTAAAACACAGGTCAACAGAGTTTATGTTGTAAAAAAAAACAAAGAGAAAACAGAAAAAGAAAATGAAGAGTCTCAGGAAAATGTGAGAAAACACGTTAACAGAAATATCAGTGCACGGAAAAGAGTCGAGCAGAAAAAGCGTGTGACGACATATGGAGGAAATGTCACCAATTAGATGAAAAACACTGTGCCCACCCACGGTCGCCGTGTGTGTTGCCTAGCACTGTGTGTGAGGGAACCTGCGAGCAAGCTGCAGAGGACACGTCTCTCTCGCTCGCCCTCTCCCTGTTCCAGTCCTGTCTCTGTGGCTGTACGCACTGGCTGGGACCAAGCAACAGGTTGACAGCAAAAAACAATGGCTGTTTACCTTACTGTGACCAGCAGAATTTCTAAAATGTTCTCACGAAGATGTTCCAAACTCTCAGTATCTGTAAATACGATTATCATTCATGATTACGCTGTCATATGGCACAGCTGACCTTAAGCTACTAATAGCATCCTGGGTTATCCAGGTGGGCACATTGTAATGCTATGAGCCTTTAAGAGCGTAGGGTGCTGTACAAGTGACTACAGAAAAAGTCAGAAGGATGCAGCAGAACGGGCAGGGGGAGCGTTTCTGCCGATCAAGCAGCGAAACAGGGACCTCAGTCCTACTGCTGTAGGGACCGAATTCGGCCGACAACCCGAATGACTCTGCAAGAAGATTCTTTCCGAGGAGTTCCAAATAAGAGCCCGGTCCAGTCGACACTGTAACTGCAGTGTGGGGATACCCTGAGCAGAGCCAATTCGGTCTGCGTGGACTTCTGACCTACCTATGAAAGAATGAGTAGGTACTGTTTGAGGCTGACAACTTTACGGTAATTCATTACACAGCAACAGAAAACTTATACACCAACCCTCTTGGGACAACGGCTCCACAGATTCCTCTCTGACTTTTAAGTTTCTACAGAGCCCCACTGCCACTGACTTTGTCCTGGGACATGACAGAGAAAGAAGAGTAAACTGGGCCCCCAACTCCTGCCCCAACCACCAAGAATTAGAAGATCCCTTTTTCTCCACAGGCCGGAAGTAGAGGGCTTCGGCTGCTCTTCCCATGGTTTAGGCTGCAGACACCTGAGAACTGGTCAGTTCAACGAGCTCACTGCTACTCCCGATGCGATTCTTCTTCTCCAGTCCACCTTCTATTTGCTTTTTTGAGGCCTCAAAGAACTTTTCACTGCATTGTCTCCAAGTTTCATAACTGCATTCAATGGAATAGACATTGTGGAATGGACATACTTCGTTTTATCCACAACCTGAACCAACCTCCATATTCCAATTACACTCCATCTATATATTGGCATATATGTGTCACACAGCATTCTCTGCCTTTCTATCCCCATTTCGTCCCCATATTTAAACTTAAGGATGACCACAATCATCATGTTAATGTCTCTAGTCATTTTATTTCTCTGAAGTTTATTCTACAGTCAATTCATCAGGAGTGGTTCATGGGAAAAATCTTTTCTTGGAAACTCATAGCGGTTTTTACATGCCCTTTGTGCTCGAAATTCAGTTTTGCTGGAAACAAAATCCTAGGCTTGACTTATGGATTTAGCACATAAGGAGTTTACATGGGTCACCACTCCTACCCTGATAACGATGAAAAAGCTGAACTAAAAATCAACAACTCTTCTTACATCCAGCGGAGGACTGAGGTCAGGTCAATCACTGCCCCCCGAAGTACAGAGACAGGTGGGTACAGAGAACCACAGTCATGAGTAGAAGACCAAGAGCAGAAAACTCCACAGGAATCGGTATTGGAGAAAGAAAACAAACTAATCGAACGGTTCGAGGCTCAGTGCGGACTCACTCGAGAGTTAAAAAACACTAGGGGACCCAGCCCTAGCGAGACTCCCACACTTCTGTGAGTTTGACCTCCAGAAGCCCAACCGGATGATTGCAGTGAAGGTCAGAGAAAAGCCCACTCCTGTTTCCAGAAGGTGGAGGGGGAAAATAGTGATTCTGAAATCATCCCAGAACATTCTGTACATACCGAGGCCTGTCCTAAGAGAAACTACTTCACCAGAGCATGAGTGACGAAGGTTTTACCAAAGCCTAAGTGACCTGAGGGGAAGTAACAAACTCCAGTCCGCACTAGCATTTCTGTCCCACCGAAATCCCTAGAATTAGTCACAGGACTAAAAAGCACTTCCCTATCCGCCAACCACCACGACATGGAAGGCAAAACCAAGTATGCCAGAGAAACTGTTCGCCTCTGACTGCTGCAGCAAACAGTAAACACAGCCGAACTCCCAGCGACGTTTGCACTAGAGGCCTCCTTATCACAGCTACTTATACAGAGTACGTCATTTCTGGCTTTCAATAAAAAGTTACACGGTGAAAGATTAAAAAAAAACACTATGAAGAGAGAGAAAACATCAGAACCACGGCAGAATTGTCGGAGTGATCGCACTGGGAATTTAAAACAACTGGGATTAACGTGGTGAGGGCTCT